TTTGTGTTTCTATCATACAAGACTAACTAGAACTAGGAACAATGAAAGAAAGAGAACGACTATGGCTCCTAGGTTTACTTCTTCCTTTAAAATAGTGAAGTTTGTCTTCCTCATTGTCTAACCTTCTCTTTCTAGGACATTCTTTCTTAATTAAAATTACTACCCCTGTTCCACTAGTCGCCTTTTATATGATTTTGGGGTTAAAACTCGAACAGTATACAGTATACTGTTTCATCCCTGTCTCCCTTCCTCCATTAGTTAAACATTTTTAGGAGTTTTGGTTTATCCTTCGAGCATTTGTTGCAAATGCACGCACACACATGTAATCAACACCCATCATCACACAGAGTGCTGCACAAGGACAGCATATCCTGACCATCACTCTGTATCACTGTCAGAAGATCTTCCTCATTTCGCTTAAACAGTCTTCCCTCATTGTCTTTTGTCTCTGTGCTGCTCAAAATTCTTGATGGGCTCCACCATCCTCAGGATCAACCTGCAACTTCTTAGCATGGCAGTTAACGAGCCGCAACAATAGAGTCTTCATCTTAACCCATCTTTCCTGTTTTGTCTCCAACTACTTTCTCACTCAGCTCTCTTTCCCAGACAAGCTCTCCTCACCGTCTCCAAGCCCCCACACTTTCAGCATCTCTACTGCTGCTGACACTTTCTCTTCACTCAGTGCAGTCTTATTCCTTTGTTTAGCTGCCATCCATCTTTCAAAGTCTCTATCAGTGCTCACTTCCTTGAGAATTTTAACTATAATAATCAGGACTTTCTTTTGGACTTACAGCATTTATTGGCTAAGAAATTATTTAGCAATTAACGACCCACTGCCTCAAACTTTCTCTTACCATTACTACTTTTCACATTATGTTTTCAGGTTTTGCTTTCTCAAGAATACTCCACGGCAGTACTGTGCACTGAAACTTTTGTAAAGCTCAAGGAAATGCACAAGGATATTATAGCAACATCATAATACCTTAAGGACTTCTAAATGCTTACTGTCATTTTCTGAGCTTCGCCTGCTGCTGACTGGCACTTTCCAGTCCCCCAAATAGGGTTCCTGCTAGTTCTCTGTGCACAACAGTAGCTGGCACATTAACCTGCATACAGAATTTGCTCACGGCTGCTTGTCAATCATTACTGACTCGTTGACTGCCAGTCACTCTTCTTGCAATGTGGAAATTAGGTATTAATAATGCCATGAATATTATAATGACACTGAATTACTAAATGATATAAGGGTCATTAAGTTGTGCTATTAAAAATGCTTCTAAGAAAAAAAATATTAGGTGTGGGTTGACTCTTTTTCGAAATGACATATGTTAGTACTCTTTGTTAGAAAGGAGAGCTGTTTCCAGTATATTTTTTAAAACTTGACGGAAAACAGGAGATAAAATCAAATTAAGAATTTGATTTTTATATTTAGCATAAAATGAAATGGGAAAACTATCCTCATTTATAATTAAAATGCCCCGCTAAACTCTCCTGCCATATAAAGCTATTTCCTACACATAAAAGAAAAAGGCAGTTTATTGATGCTTTATAATGTATAGATTCAAGATGTTTTGATTAACTAGAATAAGGAATTAGGGCAGCATTCAGCATGTGCCACTCTTAAAATAAAGGTGCAGATAACATGCAGTTTCTTACTTAAGAAAAAGCTTTGAGTTCATCCAACTCATTATTGTTAGCATACATGTGGTTACAAAATAAACAGCATGGAAATATTTATGACATATATAATTCAATCACAAATAAATTCCATCTAAGAAAATACAGACTCAGATTTTAAAAAATCAAAACCAAAGATCTCTTACATATTAAAATGCTAGATTTATTTTTTTCATATGTGGAAAACACATACTTATTCCAAATGAAACATAGTTATTCAAAAAATTTTTAAGCTGCTTATTACTTAATTTTAACATTGGTTTTGCAATTTTGGAACGTCATTCTCCCCTCCTTAGGGGCTTTCCTCTATTCCTGGGTCAGGATATCAATACTGAAATGAATGGGAACTCATGGTCAGCAAAGAACTCACTGTGCCTCAGGTCTCTGGAGCTCAAGCAGGCTTTCTCAGCTTCTGAGCATTGGGGACTGTAACTCAGTGCCATCATATCATGTCCAGCAGGATGCCAAACAATGCAAAGCAGTTATTAACCAACATTAAATTCTTACATTCAATGTCGTCTCATTCATTCATTTGCTGGTTTGCCTATTCATTCAGAAAAGATTTACTGAGCCCAAACTTCTAAGGAAGGGACTACATAAGGCACAGGGAACAAAAAGCTGCATAAGGTAGGACCTAATGGCGCTCAGAGTCTGGCCAGTGAGTAAAGCACAAATACCTGTGACACTGTGATAAACCCAGAAATGAAGGAAATAAAAAATATTATGGGAAGGGCAGATTGATTTTGCCTGACAAGAAAATGTGGGTTAAGCAGGGATGGCTATAAAGAAATGTGATATCTAAGTGGGTACTTAAAGGATGAGTTGGGTTTTAACAAGCAAAGTAAGGGGAAATCAAGATGCTTCAGGCAGAGAAAGTACTGTGAGCAGTGTGCTCATGTACTGCAATAAGAGAAACGTGACTGTGAGGTATAAGTGGTTAGAGACGAGTCCTGAATACAGGCTGGGTCAGGCTCTAAAGGGCTTTGAAAGTCCAGTAAAGGCTGAGAACTTTATATAAAGAAGCAAGAGATAAGAGTTTACCATGATTTAATGGTAAACCAAATATCTGACATTGAAGAAAACAACCTCAGAAAATCACTGGGGATCTTGATCATGATTATCTGAATATGATGAAAAATATGCTTCCTTTTCAATGCAAAAAAATGAGCATGTGTTGACTAAAGAAAGACATAGAAACTTAAGAAATGAGAGAGAAAGAAACAACTTAGAAATCTGATATAAAACACTAACATTTGTTACGGCAAATTCTGCCTTCTTACTTGTTGGTCTAGTTGCACAATTCATTCCCAAAGGCCTTCAATCACTCCACATTGTCTACCAAATAAAATACATACATCTTATTTGGCATTTTCAGAACTTCATGGTGATAACCTCACTTATGTCTCCAGCCACATTTCTTCTAGCCATTTCTAGAATATAAGTTTCCTTAAGTCAGGGTCTATGGCATCCAGCCAGTGATGTTCAACGATGACTCCCAAACTGACATTTTTCCAACAGAGTTGAGTTCATGCCTATTTCAAGCTGATGACTGCATATATGTGTGTATGTGTATGCACATTCTTTTCCTATACAGTTTAAGAAAATTAAGCCAAGTATAGGTAGTTCTACTAATTTTCAATTCTGTTAAACTATGTTAAATGAATCAGACTTACTATGCACTGAGCCAACTGGTAACACTGACCCTAAAAACAGTTAATTTGCTCAGTTTTATAGACTTAACGCCTCTATAATGTTTTACCTAGTGTGAGATAGAACTCTTGATTCATTCATGAAGAATAAATAATTGTCATTCAAATCTCATAATACTCCAATGGGAAAGGGAGGCTCCAAATGGACATTGTACTTTTCAAAGCAGACTGTCAGCGTGGTGGTAGAGAAACCACTCATGCTGGAGACCTTGATATCTAGGCACAGGGTCTCTGTCACCTTAAAGCAGATAAGGAGACAGTGTAGAACCATAGTAACCCAGGTGCAGAGAGGTCTGGATTCAAATCGTGGCTCCATTTGTCAGCCCTGAAACATCATGTAAGTCACTTTACCTCTCTAAACCTCAATTCCTTCATCTATAAATCAGAATAATTATGCCTATCACACAGGGCTATTTTAAGGAGTACATCCTCATTCTCCTATACCTCCTCCTTCCCCTAATGATAATAATAGAAGTAAAAAGAAATATTTTATTGAACATTTACTAGAAGAAACTGAAGTACAGACAGGTCAGTAGCTTACCCAAGGCCCCACCACTACGTGATAATGAGGTGATACAGATGTCCAGTGCCTTACACGTGGTATGTATTTCATAAATGGCAGCTGTCAATTTTACTACCACTACCATAGCTTCTTCTTTGACTGCTATTGCTACTTTTCTATTACTATTTATGATGATACCATAGTATTCTGAAGGCAGGATCTCCATTTCTCATGTTTGCTGTTGCACGGCCATAGCATAGTGTTTGGCATATCAACACACTTTATCCAGTGAATTCAAGACTTTTTACTGGTGGCCTAGGACTTCTAGCTTACATCCTGAACCCTCTGTTATTTCCTCTCTTCAACCCAGTTCACTTGGACATCCTTTGGATTTACAAAGTCCCTGGAAGTTAGTTGCTCACACACCCTCCCAGTGGGGATGGGAGACGGTCATTGCCCAGACAGTCATCCTCCAGCAAACCAAGCAACTCCCATCTTTGGGTGCTGGTTTAATTTCCCTAATTCCTGTACTATATGAATCTTTAGTGCTCTTAAAGTCTAAGGCTTGTTCAAAAATAGATGACCTACACATGACTGTTTTATCTTTCTAAACAAAAGAGAACATGAAAATATAAATGCCTTTAATTAAAATATGCTTAAAACAAAATTAAAGGTATCGATTTCTTTTTTGTAATAACTATTTTCACTAGAATAAACACATGCTAAGTAAATAAGACACTGACTACATTCATGATTCATAGCAATGAAAGAACCCTTAATTACTACATTTTGTCTCCCAAAGTAGATTTTTAAAAATCTTTCTCATGCCTTTGTGTCTGTAACACTTGGCAAGAGCAGTGTCTTGAGGAAATCTTTCTTCATTTCAGAAATGGCTTTGACAACATAAAGCAAACCCAGATGGCTTCTGAAACTGAAGCTTTTGCAAAGAGCACCTGGTCGATCAGTCCCTCAATAGTGGTACCGTTTATTTTAAACAACTCTTCCAGCATTTTCCCAGTCGTTTTATAATCGTTGCCATCTTCATACCTGTTTGGGCTGTTCTGTCATTAGAAAGAAGGAGTGTATTGTGCCTTCAAAACTACAAGGCTTACCGATGCACCGAGAGCCATCTGTTGAGGTTACATATCCACGTGGACAAACGCAAAAATAGCTTCCCACGGTGTTGGAACATTCGCCAGTTTCACATATCCCAGGAATGATGCTGCACTCATCAACGTCTAATCAGGGGAAGAAGGAGAAGATGACTGAGAAAGGCCTTCATTAAATAGCTTTTAAAAGGGATTTTTTAAAAAGAGTATGAGAGCGCTCATGGTTGATTAGGTCAGATCATATAACCCTGAAGATACTCTTGTTTCAGGCCCTAAAGAATTTCTCACACATATCTATGGGAACTGAGATGAAAGTAAACTCCCATGGCAGTAAAACAAGGCCAACTAAAGCAAAACTCTATATCCTTTTTTTCCCCCAAATGCAATTTAAATTGGAAATAAGTAAATGTTTTAGTTTCCATTCTACATCAATTAGGGAATTATCCTACTAGAGACTTTAAAAAGAACACGTGCATGGATGATATTTTAAAATATGAAATAACTACATTTAAAAATTTATAGCTAATTTTCACATTAATTATTTGAACCAATGGAGGGTGGCAAGCACTTTTCTTTTTCTATTTGGCTTCAGGATATGTTTTTGTACTTACATGTGAATATCGGTATATTTGACATTCTGGAAATTAAGGTCAAACCTAAAATAATACAGTAAAATGGCAAAGAGCAAACTTGGGTGGCTTTGGGAAGTGTCCAGTTTTCCTATTGTGCCTCCCTGCACTTATCCATTCAGTTTACTTAATGTTAGGACTAGTCTACTCCCTTTCACATTAATGAAAGGTCTGCTTTCTTTTAAACTGTCCCCAAACCAGAAAACATGGCCATTTATATAAGCTTTAGTGTACTTTTCTTTTAGTTCAATAAGCAGAGAGAGGTAGAAAGTCAACAAAGCTACAATTAGGTACACTGGAAGCTACTTGTTAATACATTTAAAAGGAAATGAGCCATTGTGAGGAGAATCCAGCCACAGATGCCTGGGAGTTAGCTGTCCTTTTTAAGGAACAGAGCTAGCAAAGATCAGTGAATACAGGGAACAATTATAAAAGCCATAAGCATAGATGATTATTGAAAAGTAAACCTGAGCTTTTAGTTTTGTTTTAGTTTTTTTAGATGCATATATATATATATATATATATATACACACACACATACACATATGTTTAAGTGTATCAATAAAAAGCAAAGGAAAAATTATATGCGAATTGTAAATAAAAGGAAATAAATTTTAAACCCCACAATTAAAGAATGGTTGACAATGCCTTTCTTAAATTCCTCTATTGCTCTATTCATTCTTTTTTCCCGCCATTTACTGACAAGTCATTCTTGCCTACAAGCTGTATCACGAAATAACTATATGCCTATGTCTTCTTGGAAAGTTCTTAATAAAAAAGTTACCACATTCAGACTTTTCTGAAATAATATCTTCATTAGAGGCTTAACAGTTAGCCACTGAAGGCACAGTGGTACAAATCATAATCTACCAATTCCCCTAGAGAGCTCAGAATTCTAACATGAATTGGTTACATGAGAAGCAAACATATAATGTGGTGAAAGAGTTACCATCAGATTTAATCCAACAAAATGAAACCATATGTGCAAAATTAGGGTCTGCCGCATCCTGTGTTGCTATCTTAGTGCAGGGCATCTTAATAAAACCGAATGTGGATTCAGAAGAGAAAGGAAACTAGAACAGCTATACTCAAATCACCAAATAAACTGATAATCACTTCTAGATAAGGAAGACAAAAAGAAAAAGAGAACAGCACACAGTAAAGCAGCAAGCACTACAAAAGTGAAGGACCAAAACTTTCCTTCTGATCCTCTTACATCTAAAGTTATGACAACAATCAAGGCACTTATGGAGCCCAGGATTATCTAAATTCTTAAAAATTAGGAATCTTCATTTAGTCCTTAATTTAAGCATTTACTCTTATTTTCAGCCATTTCCTTTCATAATAAAGAACTTCTTTGTGCTCTACTTCCAAATAGCCTCCTGACAACAAAAAGAGTAGAAATTGAAAGATGTTTGACATTTTTCTTTTTTAAGTGGGGAAAAATAACCCTGGAACATAGAAGAACACATGGAATGATATTAAATTTGGGGGTTTTGTGTTAAATACTTTATTTTACAAAAACTCCATGTTTCGTGAAAGAACCTTGAAAGGTTAGCTTCAAAATAATTATATGTAAAAGGCTCTCAGTAAAGTATTTAAGAATTCTATATGAACAATAGGAATATTTTTCATTTATTTTTGGGCTAGGCTCCCCCTCAAATTTTAATAATTCAAATATTTGGTGTTTTGCTTTTTTACTGATCAAAAAACCCTGCCTTTTGATGTGCCCAATATTTATTCATCAATTTAAATTTAGCATTGACATTTATGTTAAGAAGGATGCATGCATTTAGCTCTTTTGTAATAATAGTTTTTCAAGACCATACGTCACAATCAGATTTGGAAGTATTATCTTCACAAATACAAAACATACATTGCCTATGTAGGTACAAACAAGTAAGCCTAATAGGGACAAGTCTATTCACAGGAAAAGGCGGTCTTAATGGGAATTCATTTCATTCACGTTCTGCATACCTAATATGCTTCTGTCCATCTCCCCTTGAACTTTTTAAAAAACGTTTATTTATTAGTTTGCAGGCTTTGGTCTGCAATAGAAAAACTGATCCAAACTGACATAAAGCAGAAATGTAATAGCTTGCATATCTGGCAGTCCAGAAGTGGCAAGGATTTTAGGGTTGTTTTAAGGCAATGTCTCTTGCTCGGCTTCTCTGATATCTACTCACCTATCTCTCCTCTGTGCTTTGATGTCATCCTTAAGGCTGACTTCCCTGATGGAAGCAAAATGGTTATAGCAGTCCTAGGCTAGATCTTTGACTGGAACATCTAGTGGAAGAGAGGGTGTCTCTTCCAGGGGTTCTCTTCTAAGAGGAGAACTGTTCCCCAGGAGCACCCAGCAAATCTTCCCTTTTTTCCTTATATCCTGAACTGAGTCACATGCTAACTCTTTTGAATGATTCCTCTAGCCAGGAAAATGTGCTCATTGACTTAGGCCTGGAGTCCTGAACTAATTACTGCTGAAAGTGGAATACAGTTAGCTTTAGACTAATAAAAAACAACAAAAACAAAAATAAAAGCCAAAAACAGCATGGGTGAATACAACTGAAAATACAGCATAGTTGAACAATGGAAAGTGTACCAGCACGGTTGGGAAACTGATGAAGATAAGCTTAGCTAGTCAGCCATATGCTGAATTCTGAATCCATATGAGAGCTTTCCCAAGAATTTTGGCTTTTTTTCTGAAATGATTTAAGGTGTCTATGAAGAGGTTTAAATTAAACAAGAACATTTCATAAGCAAATCAATATTTCAGAAAGACAATCCTTGTGTTTAATGTAGATAGACAATAAATAGTCCAGTGATAAATGATGAGAGCCTGAAGTAAGCTTTATGATGAGGGAGAGAACTCATATTCAAGAGATTCTAGAGGGAGAATTCAACAGGACTTTGCCACTAGATAAATATCTCAGACTTCTGGCTTGATTGAGAAGGGAGCTAATGGCAGTGCTATTAACAGGAAATGGGATACAGAGGGAAGAACACATTTTGAGGTTTGGTTGAGTTTGGAACATTTTGAACAAGACATGTTGAAGAGAAATAGGCAGAAATTCCAACTCTTCAGCTAAAAATTTGAAACTCAGTAAAAAAAATAAGGGGTAAAGATGTATATTTGTGGTTTATCACCCACTCTGCAGATTGCTTTTGAAGTTGTAGCGATAAATGAGATTTCCAAAGAAGACCCATAAATGAAAAGAATTGAATTTAAGGAGGGAACTCTGAGAACCACCACCATCCAAGGGAAAGTCAAAGGAAGAGAAGCCAGTACAGGAGACTGGGAGGAAGAATCAGGGAAGGTAAAAGCAAGAGTATGATGACGGGATGGTAAGGAAGAAATCTGTCAAATAAGAGGGAGATTTAAGTGTACCATGGGAGGGTAAAGAAAGAGAAGGACTGGAAAGTGTTTGGTAATTTGAAGAAGTGGAATACAGGGGTTTTTTTGGTTTTTTTTTTTGTTTTTAAAGGAAAGTAGATCTAAGCAAAACCATCTGACAGATTTCTGACTGCCAAACCACATAACCTCATATTTGTCAACCAACATTTACAACATTCACTGTAACTCTTACTCTAAGCAGAATATAATGAATAATTTGGTAAGTAGTGCTAAGTGTGATCTCAGATATCACTGAATTCTAAGAACATTGCCCTAGAGATTCTGTCAATTCCAATATTTACATGTCATACATAAAAGCAGTCCATGTAACAATTATGTTACAGAGAACTTAGAACAAATAAAATAAGAAATTTTGTTTCAAAAAAGTGCTCATAGAATATTTTCTTTCCATCCCATGCCAAGGAACCACATGTATTTGGCATATTCCATATAACTTTTCTTTTGGTATAGAAAAAAGTAAATATTATTTCTCTTCTATGTACACTGAATTTTTATTAATATACTATTTGAAACTAGGAAAACTTATGGCTAAATTTTAAATACAATAAGTTGCTATTTCAAGCTTTTATAGGGACAACAGGCATTTTCAAAATGATAAAATAAGTTGTAATGGAAAAGTAATGTTTGCTTTACCCTTTTCAGATATTGAAAGGATAATGTATATCAATTGCACTCAGAATTTCACTGTATCTTTATAAAGAGCTTTATCAAAATATAATAATTGTACTGTAATACAGTCATCCACCTAAAGTACAAAATTCAGCAATTTTTGGTATTTACAGGGTTGTACAACTGTCACTACAATTTAATTTTAGAGCAATTTCATTCCTGCCAAAGTAATTCCACCCCATTAGCAGTCACTCTCCCTACCTCCCTCGAAGCCCTAGGCAACAGCTAATCCATAACTAATAGATTTATGACTTATAATAGCTAAGCTGTATTTATATATTTGCCTATTCTGGACATTTCATATAAAAGAACCATAAAATATATGGTCTTTCATGACTGGCTTCTTTCACTTAGCATGATGTTTTCAAAGTTCAACCATGTTGCTGCAAATGTCAAAACTTCATTCCTTTAATTGCTGA